TGAAATTTTTTACATCAGCATGTTTACCGACTTTATTTAAAAGCAACTAAGAAGGCAATAAGTTTTCCCAGGTCTGAAAAAAAAAAAGAAGAAGAAAAAAAGCTTGCGTACTAAGCATTCATTGACAAATATAGTTCAATGTTAAGTTTTACAGTATTTTAAACTTTAATGTCCATAAATGTTATGTCAAGCTGGTAACCACTGTAACAGTGGGCATCATCATAGCATCAGTCTTCTACCACTCCTTCAGTAGCGCCCCCCTACTGAAGGCTTAAAAACTTTTTTTTTAGATACCTAAATAAAACTTCGAAGTTCTGACATTTCTTCTGAAATATCTTTGATAAAAAATTTACTAGGTCAGGAAAAGAATCCAGCCTTAGTAGCTGCCGTTTTAGCATGCATTCAAAGCACTGCTAGAAAGGCTACCATCTGAAATAAATATCTCATTTTCCTCCTATGTTTTTTTTTTTTTTAAAAGTAACATTCAACTTTAGAGTATAAATCATATCATATAAATCATTCTACTACTGATGACTCAGAAAAGCCACAAAACACAGGACTTCATCTATTTCTGGATGCTCGCAAGAAGACAAGTGAATCAAAACCTGTTACAGACAGTTGTGACAGTTAATAGCTTTAGAAACTGGGTAAAATAACTTAAAAATAAACGTGACAGAAATTATGGACATAATTGGTATATTTCACAAATGATATAAAGAAAGACAGAGGAAAAAGAAGTCAAAGCCAAAGGTAAGTTATACTTGCAGTAACAACATAGCCAAGTACCAGGCTGACATCCAGGAAGGATGATTTGTTCCAAGCAAAAAACATCACAGAATATGACAAAAAACATGTCAGCAGAGTCATGCAAACGTATGATCCAAGCTAAAGCTATAAAATGGGCAAGGGAAATATAAATTATATGAATATAATGCAGACATTATTTGACTTTAAAAATTAGGAAGTGACAAACCAGTGCACTGCAAGGAGAGGAGAGATGATGGAATTAAATACAGAATTACAGTCACTGAAAGTAGAAAAGAGAGCAACATCACCTTCCTTAAACTGAAGGAGAAGTGCAGAAGTGAAAGGCAGGCAAAAAAAAAAAAAACCTACAGATGGAACGAGTCAGATTATCCTGATAATTCATTCTTAGGAAAGAGAGAGGAAAATAAAAATTAAAAAAAAAAAAAAGGAAAAAAGAGATTGTAGGCCTATCAACTCAAGCAAGAATAAAGTAAGGTTTAAGCTATGCATCTGAAGTGACAGGAGAGCTCAGTTTTGCAGAAATGAAAGTTGATTAGTCCAGGGAGGGAAGGGAGAAGACGATGGAACAGAAGAAGAATCTCAATTGACACCAGTCAAAGGACCGAAAGGACAAACGTCAGCTGCAATCGAATGCTATAAGCAGCTCTGGGATTTGCCAGAGCTTGCTTTCTGCAAAAGTAAATACCTTTTCTATTTCAAGAGATGTTTCATATCTCCAGTGAAATTCACCTATGGCAAATTCTCCTCCATAACAATCAAGTAAAATTACAGACTTGGCTGTGCCTAAACCAAGTCTTCGAGTACACAGATAACAGCCTTCAGCTCTCATCTACTTACATAGGCATTACCATATAAAAAGGAAAAAAAAAAAAAAAATATATATATATATATATATATATATATACACACACATAAAAGGTTATTTCTGCTTTGTGTTATATTTACTAAAATCAATAACAATTCTTGTAAAGGAACCACTTATGGTTTTAGATTCCTGATGATTAAATTGAAGAAGTTTGATCACTGTTAAAACATCTTTGACTTCTCTTTCAATAAACCACCACCCTGAAGGCAAAGTCACAGTTGATGTAATTACAGAGAAATCGGGAAATCAAAGGCACTGGAGTTGCTTTAATTAACAAGATTATTCTCTGCTGCAGGTCTCATCTCTGGTTGTGCTCTTCCTAGCCCTTAGTCATCCATAGTCAAAAGGACATGGCCAGCCTGACACTTGGTTTTTTTTTGTTGTTTTTTTTTTTAAATGCCAGCAGATCAAAATGGATGTTAACTGAGTTGGTCACGCACAAAGGAAGTGGCCTAAAAAGGTCACTACTCATTAGTCTGTTTAGAATATTACAGCAAATGAACAAGTGCCTCTGAAACTCAGCCAAGCAGAAAGAAGTAGCATTAAAGTCAGTAACATTTTTATTTCATCAACAGCACTGGCAGCAGTCATTACTGCTAATACAGGCCAAAGAAACAGTAGCATGAGGAATTTCTAGAGATACAGTAAATACAAAATTCAGAGTAAAAATATACTGAAACTTCCATTCATGCCACTCTGTGATTCTATTCTATGATTCACATCTCTTTCTTACATTTCTGCTTTTCTGTATCAAATTACACACAAGTCTGAGATGGTTTATTTCTGTAACAACTACAGGAATGAAAAATTATTTTATATTCACAGTAATGAGATGACAAAACTTTGCCAATGCTTCTCGTTTGTTAAGAAATACAACGTGCAGGTAACAAGGCTGTAATTTCTGTAACCACTCCATCACACTTAGCTGTGCTGAAACTAGCTTACAAAGGTGGAATCAGTTCATCATTTTAGGTAACTGTGTGCCCAGATTTGGACTGACCCTAACCCTGTCCCTGCTGGCCGCCCCTCTTTACCAGGATACCATTTGCTTTCCGAGCTGCAGGCACACACTGCTGGCTCACATTCAGTCTTTCATCCACCAGGACCCCCACGTCCTTCTCTGCTAGGTTTTGCTCACAAAGCTCTCCCAGTCTGTACATGTATCTGGCTCCAGGACAGAACCTTGCACTTTGCTATGCTGGACCTGATTAGTTACACACTATCCCACTTTTTCAATTTATCAAAGTCCCTCTGGATGGCATCCCTTCCTTCTGCTGTATCAACTGCACCACCTATCTTGGTGCCATCTGCAAACCTGCTGTAGATGCTAATGCTGCAGTCTTGAGATACTGCCATGTGAAGCCCAATATCATCAAAATATAACCTTTCCCTGAGACTGTGATCTAGAAAGTCCATTTCATGTCTTAACAAGGTTATTTCTAGAGGGTTTTCCTTCATCCCAATTTTAAAAAGTGTTATTAATTGCAAATGTATAACTATGATAAATACTTTCAATAAAATCACTATAGTTTTATTTAAAATATTTATTGTATTATTACAGATCGCAGGATCTCCCGATCAGGGAGCATGGGGTGAAGCCTTATGTTCAGAGGCCTTGGTCCTCACAGGCAGCATTAACCAAGGGACCCAAAGAGAAGGGAGCAGGGCACAGTATCTATAAGCACCATGTATGGTGTGGAAACTGTGGTGTACTGCTCTGATTTAGGAGTTTTTAATAGTCACTTACAACAAATGCCTTTAATATACCACTCAAGAGCCTGGAATAATGAAATCTATTCAGGACTGCCACCTATCGTGTACTTCTTTATTTGTTTCTTTTTCAATACAAATTTAACAGGAAATGCATGGTATGGCTTCAGAAACACTTTACACTGCAGGCACTTCTTACAAGTTATGAACCATGGGAAAAAACACAAGTTTAGTTACCTAAGCAGTTTATTCAAGCAGTGATAAGAAATCAATGCTTTCAGGGAGTGAAAAATTGCAGTAAACTCAGAGCAGTGAAAATAAATGCCTGGAGCTCCTATCTGAAGAACATCAAAGAAATGAAAGCAATGAAGCAATTTCCATGCACGAGGCATTGCTGAAAGAATTAACACATGCTTATTTTGCTTTCTCTAATATCAGCAATTAGACATTAAGTTCATGTTTACACTTAACTACCTTCCCAACGTGCTATAAAGCAGCTGCATCATTTACTTGTGTGGAAGACAGAACACATTACTTCTTCTCACTCAGTATGTACATAACTTAATTGGACTGTTAATATACATGGAATAGTTATGTAAGAACATTAAATTTTTCCTAGTGTATGAAGGAGTAAATGTATGGAACATTTTTCCTAATGTTCCATAATGTCGTTACTCATCTATCAATCTTCACAAATGAATGCATACATAAACAGTACCCCGATGAAGCACATACAATATTTTAGATACAGGTGAAGAGGGCCATTGGATTAAGGTTCTTCTCATTTTTACTCGGCATACAAACACTATTTCACAGCTCATAGCGTTGCTTAAGGAACGTCCAATCCCTGCAGGCATTCAAGGCCAGGCTGGATGTGGCTCTGGGCAGCCTGGGCTGCTGGTTGGTGACCTGCACACAGCAGGGGGTTGGAACTGGATGCGCACTGTGCTCCTTTGCAAACCAGGCCATGCTGTGATTCTGTTATTAATCATTAATCAAAGCACCTTTGGGTAAAATTAGGATAACATGCAGTGAATTAGTCCTGCATACATCTGGCAGTGTTTGCAGCAAAGATTTTTGCTTGCCCACAGTCCAAGACCAAACAGAGATCACGAAGGACTCTCAATCACTCGTCTCAAAGCTTTTCCTGACAACATTCCTCTGAAGTTCTCCACCCACATTAACAATCTGCAAATACCCAACCCCACAAAGACTGGAGTTCATTCATTTTATCCAGAACGAAAACCGCGCTGCAAAAGGACACCAACTGCACAGCGCTGCCTGCTATCGCAGCGAAATTACGAAACACGGAGACAAAACGCACAGCAGCAGCACCGCACAGCGCTGCTCCTCGTGGCTCAGTGTCCCAAGGACGGTGGGTTGACTTATTTCACGGTTCCATGTAAGCAGGAGCTCTCATCACAAACGCCAGCAGCTCCAGGCCGGCTCAGGCGGAAGCAGGGCGCACAGCGGCACACGCCCGGGGCAACGCAACGCAACGCAACGCAACGCAACGCAACGCAACGCAACGC